TGGTAGGTTGAAGGACTGCAATGTGAAACATTTCATCCCCAAGGATACAGCAGCTCTTTACTATGCTAAACTTCAGTGAAGGTAAATAGGTGGCTACAGGGAGATCTGCTACACTCATCCATCCACTCCTGTATTATAGTTAGGATAGGGGTTTAGTGCTGTTGATAAGTGCTGTTGAGTTGGTTCCTGTTGCGGACCGTGTAAGACTGGTCAGAGGTTTGAGGCCCTATAGGGCTGAGTGTAACAAATGAGGCCACTGGCAGTTAATGGCAAATTGCTTTCATCTTAATATTCAGTTATATATATTAAATTAATACACGGAGCCTTTGAAAATCCACAGATAAATGTGATATTTTCCTAAAGCCAAGACTAAAGGTTGCAAGGTTAAACCTTTCTCCAAAGGATTAACTAAAAATAACTTAGCTACTTCTCGGTTCTTTGTTCTATAGACAAAGAACCCATCCTCCCTAATCCCTTTTCCAGATGCAGCCCATTCACCTGGGCATCTCCTGCAGAACTCACCTTCCCCCAAGTGTGCTCAGGGGCTATAGATATGTTAATTGGGCCTGAGAAACCAAGTTGCTGGCCTGGGATTCAAACCAGCAAACTATGATGTAAAATTACCTGAATGTCTGGAAAAGTACTGATGTTAGCTGTACCTTGCCTTGGTCCCTCCCAGCTTGGTGTGAAGCTCCTCCCCTAAATAAAGCAGAGCCCCGGGCCTCCCCAGGTGTGCATTACTGGTTGGAAGGCTTGGAGTAAAGATTGCAGGGCAGTGAGTTGCTGCCTGCAGAGGCCACGATGCCTGTACTCCCAAGCCTGCCCACCAGTGATGTATCCACCCTGGCTTTGGGGTGCCTCATTGTCTCCCTTCTTCTGTCTGTGTATTCTTTTGCTATCCCTATCGCCGCTGGATCTCCCCTCCTCATGAACCAAACACTCGTGAACAACACAACTATGTCGAGGTCAGACCCTGAAGTCCCCGACAGGTTCCGACTCATACTGACCCTATATAGGGTTTCTGAGGAGCGGTTGTTGGGTTTGAACCACTGACCTTTCAGTTACCAGTCCAGTGCTTATCTTACAGTGCCACACCAGGTCTCCAAACTGACATTTATTGAGCAGTTATTTACTTTGTTCTATGCAAAACCATTTATCCCAAGAATCACTCATTTAAAGCGACCCAACCTTATGAGGTAAGTAGCATCATTTCCATTTAACTGAGGAGGAGACTGAAGTGCAGTGTGGTTAACTTACTTGCCAGGAGCAGTAAGAGAGGATTCACACCTAAGCAGGCCCCTCCAGAACCCAAATGCAAATGCATAGCCACTCTGCCTGCTCTAACCAGCCATAAACTAGTATCTGCCAGTGAATAACCTAATTCAACAAATGACAACGAGCACCCACTCTGAGTCACAGCACCCACTCTGAGTCACATGGAGCACCCACTCTGAGTCACATCATTTTGGGTGCTGAGTAAAGAAGTCCCCACCCTCGTGAAATTACTGTTCTGGGCGGGGGGGGCAGACACTTTCTCTCACACCCCACATCCAGTTGGCTCTGCCACTCTGAACAAGTCACAATCCTCCTCTCTCTGCTTACAACCTTCTCATGGCTCCCAAATATTGTTAAGTGCCCGTCGAGTAGGTTTTGGCTCATAGCGACCCTTTACAGGGTTTCTGAATGGCTGGTGAGTTTGAACTGCTGACCTTGTGGTTCAAACCTACCTTGCAGTCCAGCAGTTATCCTACAGTGCCACACAAGACTCCATGACCTAACTTTAATTTACAAGCCTTCTCACACACACAAGCACATTTCTGCCTCAGGACCTTTGAACATGCTGTTCCCTACTTAGGATGCCCTTCCTCGTACATGTACTTACCTGGTTTCTTTTCTCATCCTCAGATTTTTACTCAAGAGATTTCAGTTAGACTCATAGCAACCCCATGTACAACAGAACAAAACCCTGCCTGGTCCTGTACCACCCTCACAATTGTCCTGTTTGAGTCCATTGTTGTAGCCACTGCGTCCAGCCATCTCCTTGAGGGTCGTCTTCCCCGAATCCTTACTTCACCAAACATGATGTCCTCCAGGAATTGGTCTCTCCTGATAATATTTCCAAAGTAAATGACACGAAGTCTCACTATCCTCAATTCTATTTTGGCTTTCTTCCTAGGCAGATTTGTTCATTTTTCTTCCCCAACACCATGATTCAAATATGTCAACTCCTCAGTCTTTAGTCACTGTTCAGTCTTCACATGCAAATGATGAGCTTGAGGACACCATACCAGGGGTCAAGTGTACCTTACTCCTCCTCTAAGTGACACCCTTGCTTTTTAACAATTTTTTTTTTCACTGCGAATTTGGGTGTTTTACAGAGAAAATTGGTTTCACATTCAAAAGATGATATGCATTGTTTCATACCTTTGAATGCGATCCACTCAAGGTAACATCGCCTTATGCATCCCGTTTCTTTCTGTTCCTTTTATCCTTTCTTGCTGTCTGAACTTTGTCTTTAGGCAAATGTTGCCCTTTTGGTCTTGAATAGTTGATTGTTCTCAAGAGTCATATATCTCCATCACTGTTCACCTTATTGACCTATGGATTGGCTGAAAATTGAGCCACGTGGGGGAGTTCAGTTCTAGGTTTCAAGGGTGACTAAGAGCCAGAATCATTTGGGGTAGGGGAGGGGTAGCTTTTTAACACTTTAAAACCTAATGAAACACATGGTTTGATTTCTTAACTGTAGCATAGGTATTACTTAGTCCCTTTTCCTACTATATTTCTCTTCTTAGTGTTGTCGTTAAGTGCCATCGAGTCTGTTCTGATCCATAATGACCCTGTATAGGGTTTTTGAGGAGTGACTGGTGAGCTTGAAACACCGAGTTTGCGGTTCAAACCAACTTTGCAGCCCAGCGCGTTATCCCATGCCACAGCAGGACTCCTGTCTTCTGAGTTCTCAGCATTTCTTTACAAGTTTGTATTGTGGTGTAATTTCTATGTTATTCACCTGTTTTAAGTGCACCATGATTTTAAATAATTTTTTCAAGTAGTGCAACCATCAGTAGACATTGGTTGTAGAGAATTTCCATTTTTTAATGGAGGAGGACATCATACTTGGTAACGTGGAGGGTCCGTGAAAAAAAAAAGAGGAAGATCCCCAGTGAAAGGGATGGCTACAGTGGCAGCATCAATAGGCTCAGACGGAACGACTGTGAGCAAGCACAGGACTGGGCAGTGTTGTCTTCTATTGTGAATGGGCTCGCTAGTTTGTAGCTAACTAGCTGGTACCTAAAGGAGCTCTGGTAGTGTAGTGGTTACGAATTGGGCTGCAAACCTCAAAGTCAGCAGTTCGAAACTACCAGCTGCTCTGTGGGAGAAAGATGAGGCTTTCTGCTCCCGTAAAGATTTACAGCCTCGGAAACCCTGTACAGGGTCGCTGTGAGTCGGAACCGACTCCACAGCACATAACAACAACAAGATGGTACCTAACAGTAAGATCCCTCCTGCCCATTTTATAATGAATCTTCATTACCACCTCTAGTCCCGGGCAACCACAAGTCCATTCCTGTCTCTTATCAATTTACCATTTACTATATGCCTCACAAGGAGTCCTGGCAGCGCTGTGGGCGTAGGTTTGTCAGCTCCAAGAGGCTGAGACTTTTGGGTAGTATTCCCTTCAGTATGCCTGATCCTAGATTGGTGCCCCGATGTAGTAGGTACTCAGTAAATACATGCTAAAAGGATGAATGAGGATTCAGGTCATTTCCACTAACTGCTAAGTGCTGTAATGGATATAAGGAAGGAGCCCTAGTATCACTGTGAGCTAGGTTTTGGACTGCTAACTACAAGGTTGGTGGTTCAAACTCATCAGCCGCTCTGTGGGAGAAAGATGAGGCTGTCTGTGCCCATAAAGACTGACAGTCTCGGAAACCCTAGTTAGGGTCACTATGAGTCGGAGTCAACTTGATGGCAGTGGGCAGGTAATGGACACGCAGCGGGGTGACGGGATGGAGTGGTGGGGCTCTGTGGAGCTGGCAGTTACAGGGCATGTGATGGAAACCGGGGTGAAAAGTGGATGTGAACCGGCCATTACAGCAGCATCTCTAGACCTCAGGCCTTGCCTGCCACTTCCTGCTGGACACTGCCTGGCTGTTGGGAGGACACAGAAGACATAGCCTCCCAGGAATGGGGGCAGTGGTTCAGGTATACAGCATCTCCTGTCTGATTGGGTCCAGCACCTAGTGGGGAGGCTGATGGGATGAGGGACAGGCAAAGCCTTGGACTCTATTGGGACCCACTTGGAATCTCTTCATGCTGTCTGAACCTCATCAATTCACTCACCTGCTTGGTCTCTCTGGTTTCTCTTTTTGTAAAATAGGGATGGTGACAGTGCCTACCTTTCAATATTTTAAAATTATTTTATAAAGCATTGTTCTGTGCCCAATACCAGTGATAAGGAATGAACCCATGTGATTCTCACGCCAGCCCCACTTGACAGATGGGGACACTGAGGCACAGAGAGGGGGGTACTTGGCTGCGGAGTTATAAGGTCGAACATCACATTTTGCAGGCTGGTTCCAAGCCTTTACCCAGCAAACACTGCTGTGCTTACCAAGCCAGAGGGGTTGTCACTGTGAACGACCAGACACAGAACCCTGGCATGGCAGCTGGTATGCAGTAATCAGTGCATCACGAGGACCAACACGACTGGCAGACACAGGTGGGCACTCAGCAGGCCCCTCCCTCTCAGTTTTTGAGAAATGAGTCTCTGACCCTTTGGGGGGAAACTGGCGGCAGCCCTGTGTTTCGGCCCCCACAGCTCATAGGGAAGCAGTGCACCGTTCCCTTCCCAGAGAGAAGTTGGGCGAGGCAGGGGATGGGCAGTGAGTCAAAGGACAGCCGGGTGGAGCTGCTCAGAATTCCTCGGGTGGGTAGGGCCCGCTGCCCCTTCCCAGCATCACCAGATGCTCCAGCCCTCACACACACCTCCCACCACCATGGAGTTCGACCTGGCAGCAGGTGAGCTCCTGGGGAGGAAAGGGACTTGAGAGGCTGGGGCCACCCAGGGGGGGCCACTTCCTGCCCCAGCACCAGCTTACTCTGCCTCTCTCTGCAGCCCTGGAGTCCAATTCCAAGAAACCCGAGGGGGCAGGCCAGCGGGGGGAACCAAAACACAGCCCCCCCAAAGTTCAGGGCCCAGCGCAGGCAGGAGTAGCTGCTAATCCCGGGGTAAGTCACCTCAAGTTCAAGCGTGTCCAAGGAGGGGTCTGCCCCAACTTGAGCTGGGATGGGGGCAGGGGGCGGGAAGGCCAGGCCTCACTGCCAACCTCCCTCCAGCATGGTGGCAGCAGCTCCTCGGATTCCAGCAGCAGCAGCTCCAGCGCCTCAGACATCGAAGCAAAGGTACGAGGCGCCCCGGGTGGTAGGTGGGCTCGGAGCCCTGAGTAGTTTACTGGAGGAACCTTGTCTCTGTTTCTCCCTGCTACTCTCCACCCTTTGTCTCAGGAAAACGCCAGTGGCAAGATCAAGAAGCCCAAGGTGAAGAAGAAGCAGAAGGCTGAGGGAGCGGAGAAGGCGAAGCGGGGGAAGAAGGGGAAGAAGGGGAAGAGGGAAGCTCATTAAACCTTGCTGGGGTGAGAGGTTCTGTGCACCTTCCGGCTCCGCCCAGCCCTTTGGCTGGCTGAGGCTGCCCCCTGCTGGTCAGCCGGGCGCATGGCCAAGGAGAGGCGACCACACCAATGCCCAACAGGGTTTATTGTTTCTGTAACAGTGGCCACGCAGGCGGCCTGTGCAGCGGGACATCTCAGCACCTTAGCGAGGAAGGGGAGGGGGAAAGGGACGAACGGACAGACAAGCTCCGCGGGTACCAGGCGACGCGCGAGCGGGTAGGAGATGAATCGCCACGGCAGCGCACAGTAGCTGGCTACCAGGGGCGGGAATTCGAAGGCTTCGGGTGGAGTCACCCTCACTGCACCAGGTGGAAGGTGAGCCAGTACATGAGCAGCGGCTGGGTCGCGGCCACGGCCATGGTCAGGTACATACGCAGCTGGTTCCGCGCCCCGCGCACTGGGACTCCTTCAGCCGCCGCCTCGGCCAGGATCTTCAGCCTCAGAGTCCGGATCTGACAGGGGTTGAGGGGTGCGCGTCAAAGGCTTCCATGAGTACCAGGCAACCTGGCTCAAGTCCCTGCCCTTTTACAGCCTCATGTGTCCTTGTGGTCCACAGAGGCAGCTGTTGACCTCGGTTTCCTATTGATCCAGTGCGCAGTCGAGCACAGGGGTCTCAAGACCCCCCAAATCCTCTAACAGCAGCAGTGTGTTCTGCTTCCTTCCTGAAAACGTTACCAGGAGCACTTGCCAGGGGAAGGGATAAGGAGAAAGGGGGCGGGGCATGGGGCCAGTCTTCAGCCCTGCTAGCTAAGCAGCCCGGTCCTCTAGCAGCCCTAGCAGCCGCATGGCCTTCCTTTTCCTCAGGCCCCAGCTCTGGCAGGAAGCCCTCCCCAGGGCTCCTTAGTGGAGCATTGAAGCTCTGGGCTAAACTCCCCACCTGAAATCCTTAGACACCCCATCGATCCCCCGAGGCCCCAGCTCACCATGAACACGAAGATAGACATGCAGCACCAGCCAAGCACAAGGTAGTAACCAATCTTCCCAAAGAGCAGGCCCATGAGGATCCCACCGATCATCCTAAGGGGACGGAGAGGGGCAGGCTGCTTTCAGGAAGAGGCCTGGCCTGGGGGGACGACAAGTGACAGGCTGGAAGCACTCACCCCACGTATTTGTAGCCCAAGAAGGCCACCAGGTCGATGGTAGTGAGGTCAGTGTTGATGGTCACCAGGTAGAGACTGAGCAGGATGGCCAACACCTCCAGGGTCAGCCAGGCCAGCGCTGAGCTCGCCTGCAGCCCGAGAAGGTCTGGGGAGAACCTGCCAATGGCAACATGGCCTGAGCCCTCCCTCGCAGAAATGCCAGGATAGGGGGCAACACAAGTAGGAGGAAGTATGGGTGGAGGGTTCAGAGAGATCAGGGCCCGGTTCGGGGAGATGTGGGGGAAGTTCAGTGGGGCTATGGGAGCCCCAAGAGGTACCTGGCCCAGTTTTGGGGGTAGGGGGGATCAGGTGGCTTCTTGGGGGGCAAGGCACCTGAAATGAGGCCTGAAGGCATAGAGTACTGTCAAGGTAGACTTGGCTATCTTGGTCCCCGATATGTCCCCAGTGCCCCAGCAATTAACTGATTGCATGGAATGACATTTGCTTTTGGTGCTTCCAAGGAAGTGGACAGGGGACTGCGTGAGCAGAGGGAGGCCTAACCCAGTCTCGGGAGCAGGAAGGCATCCCGCACGGAGGCACCACAACGGAGACACCAGGAAGGAGCGGGGCCCTGTGGGAGACGGAGGGGAGCAGAGATCCCTGGGAGGCAGACGTGGACCTTTGAAAAGGCCAGGGCTGAGTGAGCAGGGGGAGGGGCTTGAACCAGGATGGAGAACTGCAGATGGGCAGCCCCTCAGATGAGACCTTTCTGGCTGTGGCAGCTCATTTGGAACAAACAGGATAGGATGGACCTGGTGGTGGAGGCCAAGAGGAAGGGTGGAGTTGGCAGCTCCCTGAGCACAGGGCAAGGCTGGGGCTACACGTGGAAGAGCAGAAATGAGGGGGCACCAACTGAGAGTATGGTGGGGCTGTTCTGAGAGAGGGGGCACTGAAAGGTGGTCACCAGACTCACCTACACCACCTGCCTTCTTACCTGTCCTGGGTCCCTAGTGCAAGGCCAGCCACCAATACATAGGTGATGAAAGCCATAGCTGTGTGAGGAAGATAGACAGACAGACACTGGTTAGAGGGAGAAGGACCGTCCTGAAGCCTCCCAGCACCCAAACCTCTGCCCGACCTCCCCACCCAGGAGGGCGCAGGGGCTGAAACCTGGAATGTAGAGGTCAGGAGCATTGATGTCAAAGCGGGGGGCCACCGGAGTGTCCTGCTGGTACTGCACTTCCCAATCCTGCAGAGAGCGGGGATAGGTAGGACCCCCAGATCTAGGCTTCTCCCTCTGCTTCTTAGAAGCCCTCCCTTGAGGCAAATCTACCCGCCTTGTGCCAGTCTCCAGCCCCCCAAGGATGTACCTCCACTCAGGTCCCTGCTCCACCCTTCTCCTCCCTTGGGAATCAAGCAGCACTGACCTGGTGCAGGTAGGGGAAGATGAGCAGGCCCAGTTTCTTGCCCACATACACAGTGTCCACAGCAAAGTAATACTTGAGCTTGGTGACGGGGAAGAAGCGGTCGATCTGCAGAGGCAGACCCCAGGCCTCCTCAATCCAAAAGTAACCAACACTGGGCCCTGCCCACTAGGCCCCAAACCTTCTGGACCCCCTGCCTCAGCCCCAGCCCACTCACATTCTTATCCACCAGCTCCTTGCCCTGGGCGGCCAGGCTGCTCCCATAGGCCATGGCCATGTTGGACATAGGATCAGCCAGGAAGGTAGCCTGGGGCGAAGCGGAGGCCGCAGGGTAGCCCAGGCCACTGGGGGCCCGAGGGGCTCCATAGCCGCGACTCTGGGCTGAACTTGTGTCATCGAAAAGCTGGTGGGGGTCAGTCATGCCTGGCTGGGACGCGGGGATCCTTCGCTTGGAGGCTGCAGAGGGAGAGGGGGGAAGAGTGTCATGTTCCCACCCCAGGAAAGGCAGCTGTTTAGCACGAAAGCTGTCTATCCATCTGTCTATCCATCCAGATACCCATGACAATGACAACTAAGACCATGAGGCAGATAGCCAGGGTTAACGGGACCAACTGTGCGTGGTGTGGCGCTATTGGATAAACACGGGACTGCTAACTGTAAGGTCAGTGGTTCAAACCCACCCAGCCACTCTCAGAAACCCTACCCAGGGTCATTCTGAGTCGGAACCAACTCCACAGGACTTGACAGCCACTGTGCATAAAGCCCAGGTGGCACTGTTTGATAAGCACTACACTGTAACTACAAGGAGCTCTGGTAGCGTAGTGGTTATGAATCGGGCTGCGAACCGCAAGGTCAGCAGTTCAAAACTACCAGTGGTTCTGAGGGAGAAAGATGAGGCTTTCTGCTCC